ATAACGAACTATTGGTTAATAATAGGAATGTGTACTTCATGAACGAATTATTGGTTAATAAGTAGAGATGTTTAGATGTTGAATGAACTATTAGTTGTTAATAGGAATATGTAGTTAACGAACGAACTATTAGTTAATACACAATTGAGATGTTTAGTTCATCAATGAATGTTGTTAGTTCATGAATGAATGTTGGTTAATAACAGCGATGTGTAGTTCATGAGTGATCAATTTGTCAATAAATGTGTAGTTGATGAACGAACTATACTATTAGTTAATTATGAGGACGTGCAGTTCATTAATGAACTGTTGGTTAATATTGGGGATATGTAGTTCGTGATCGAAATATTCAGTAATTATACAGATGTGCAGTTCATGAACGAAATATTCGGTAATTATACATTATACAATTATAACTATTCATTAATTGAAAGAGTCAAGCGGACCACGAAAACTAGTGAATTTAATAGGTAATTAAATAATGACATGTGAAGTTCATGGGTGATAATACAGTTAATACATAATTGAGAAGTGTCGTTCATGAACGAATTATTGGTTGATAATAGGAATTTGTAGTTAACGGACGAACTATTAGTTAATACGCAATTAAGAAGTGTAGTTCATGAACGAACTATTAGTTAATAATATCGTATACGAACGTACAACTCTCCGACGAACTGTTGGTTAATAGTAGATGTGTACTGCATGAACGATATATTTGTTAATAAATAGAGATGTACTTCATGAATGAACTATTCGGTAATTATAGAGTGGAGCAGTTTATGACGAACTATTAGTTAATAAGTAATAGCGATTTGTAGATCATGAACGAACTGTTGCTTAATACATTGTAGAGATGCCTGTTAGTGAACGAACAATTGGTTAAAATTAGAGATGTGCAGTTCAAGGATGAGCAATTAACATAATAGAGATATGTAGTTAACGGGTGAACTATTGGTTAATACATATTACATATTAGAGATATGAAGTTTATGAAGAAACTACTGATTAATAATATAGTTGTATGGTTCATGAACGAAATAGTTCAAATAAACTGTTTCCTAAATGGGACTGAATTGATCGATTTTTTTTTTGTGAAGTATATTTCTTTAACAGTTTCTTCTTTTCAATCATGTATCAATATAGCTTTAAAAAAAGTATCTATATTAAATAGATACAATTAAATATTTTTAAATTCAATTATAATATTTGAAATAATATAAAACCAGCTATTTTTCTCTTGTTTTGATGTTTTGTGAACTGAATACCCCAAAACATGTGCGTTTGAACCAAATGCGTACTTCTGGGATTTATTAAAAAGGAAATAATTCAACAATAACGTTGACCTGAGCGACCATAAAGGGGGACAAAACAATATAAAATGGATTAGAATCGTTTTCCCTTTGGTCTGGAAAAAACATCCCGGGATTTCTAAAATTGGAACAATCGTCACAGCAAAGTAAAATATATAGTTTTTTACAGTAAAATACGTACAATTTAATTTAGTTTTAAATTTGTTATATTTACATGAAAATAAAAATTACAAGAGTTTATACTTACAAATACAAATAATAGTGCCTATGTATCGAAGTCTATGCATAAGCCATATTTATGCATAGTCTATGCATTATTTTTTGTGTTTATAACAACAGTCGCAAATTGTTAATCTTGTTATATTAATCTATCTACAGTGGGTCAAAATTTTTCCTACATGAACTGCACATCTCTGTTATTAACCAATAGTTTATTCATCAACTACACATGTATAGTCCTTGACATGTATTATACAAGGTGTAATGTTTCTTGAGGTGTGATTTCCATCCATGACTTTTTTAATTTCATACATGGTTCCTTGGATGTGTTGTTTTTGGATTTTTCTCTCCATCATGGCCCGACAATTTTCAATTGTGTTTATGACTTGTGACTGAAGCCTAAAGGTTTGTGTACGATGTCGCGTAACGAGTAAGTGTTTGGATCCCAACTTTTGCGCACTTTTTTCAAATTATGGCGGAGTATGTCCACTTAACTTTTAGTAATCAGAATACCTTCGATGGCCACTAATTGGACTATTTGTAGCTCTCTAAGCCCCATACCATCACACTGCCTCCTCCACGCTACAAAAGTGATGTTATTATATTTTGAACATGTAATTCCCAGTTCGATTGCCTCCAAACGAATACGAACTCTTCATCTAGAAATGTTTAACTTACATTTATCTGATGATATTTCAAGAAGTCCAGGGACTTAATAACGTGTTCCCGAGCAAACTTGAGCCTGTTTTTAATATTGGGTTGTCCGGAAAATAATGCAGGATTTTAAGTTTTCATTAAAAAAAATCTATATAAAATATTCTGTTTACGTTTACAGGATTACTCATTTGTATNTGAAGATGATCTCAATAAAGATCGAAACGTTGGAACGATAAAGAAAATGTTTTTCTGAAACCTACATCACACCAGACCGCATCTCACGATTTCTGAATAATACTGTAAATAGAAATTATAGAAAAAAATACCTACAAGTGCATTAATATCGCAATCCCGCAAAGTTGTATGTTTGGACTTATCCAGTTTTGTCCCGAGGGAGTAGAAATTGCAAGAATTACTCTTTTCTCTTTGTATATACGTATGAGTGAAAATTTGTAAAAACCACTTAGAATTGCTCAGCTTACAAAAAACAGACACAAAAAACGATCAACAACATAATTATGATTTAAGAGACAGTGGGAAAATCGGATATCAATTTCATAGATAACAAAATCCATTTTAAATGGCGATGCTACTGGTGTTAAATTTATTAATATGATAAGATGATTTAACGTGTCTGCAGCATGAAACTTTGTTTTCCACAAATAAAAATAAAAATAAAATAAATAAATAAATCAAATCGAAAGCTTTGAAAAACCAATATATATGTAGAATCAATTTCTAAATGCTAACTTCAACAGATTGGTTAATAATTGAGATGTGTAGTTGATGAACGATCTATTAGTTAACAAATAGGGATGTGTAGTTTATGAACGATATGTTGGATAATAAATCCAGATGAGTAGTTCCCGAACGAACTATTGGTTGGTAATATAGTGTATATGTGTAGTTCAGCGATCTATTGGTTGATAATAGAGATGTGTGGTTCTATCTTGATAAGAAGAAAGTTTAACTCCCAGCGACCGGCTCTAACTTTCCAAATGCAAGCAAAATATAAACAAAACACTCATAGACAAAAACCGGACACTCGTATTTTATTGTTTATTTCAAACTATATTTATTTTTATCTTATATTAATTCCAACATACTTATTTTAATATAAACGAAATTAAGCGAGATCATCAATTCATGAGTTTTAATAAAAAATATTTAATTACGATGGCTTGAAAGAAAATTCAACGAAACACCGGAAAATCATTTAGTGACAGATTAAAATTTAACTAACAATTTATTAAATATATCTATTAATCTAAATCTATCTAAATATCTATTAATAATTATGCATTTTATTATCATAGAGTTTATAAATATTAATAATTATCTAATATCATTATTAGGTATACTTTATTGTTTAATTAAAAGGTAAAAAGTCGAACAAGTAATGGAAACGTTGAAATTAAATTGTAAAAAATCGAATAACAAATGAAAAAGCTGAAATTGGAATGTAAAAAGTCCAATATTAAATTGAAAAGATGAAATTAAAATGGAAAAAGTTAAAAAACGAATGGAAATATTTCAATTAAAATGGAAAAAGTTGAAAAACGAATTGAAATATTTAATGATTATTTGGAGATTGGTCTGGACCGCATTTCACGATCTCCAAATAATTATTAACTAACGCTCACTAAACGCCACACAGGAATATTTAAATTATTAAATTGGATGATAAAGGCAAAAGGTGAAATTAGAATGGGGAAAATATTGATAAATGAATGGAAAAGGTGAAATTAAAATTGAAAAGTTGAATAATAAATAAGTGGAAAATTTGTAATCAAAATGGAAAAAGTTGAATATTAATTATCATTTAATGTTCGTAAGATGCGGTCCGGTGTGATTGTGACAACGTTTCGACCATTCTTGAGATCATCTTCAGAGCCTGGGATTTATAAACATTGTTTAAATTATATAAATATGTGTAAGATATTAATATGAATTTATACAATGATATACACTTTATGAACTTTTAGGTTTAATCAATGTATTTGTACTCACTGAAAGTGTGTGTTTTCTGTGTAGAAGTGTCACTGTTGTGTGTCGTGTTGATTATGTTAGATTATATAGAGGCCTGGCCTCTTACGACCCGTGCACCACGACTTTTATTGGTCTATTATGCATTGTTGAAAGTGTTAGTGAGATTTTAATGTTTTTTGCTTTTCATGTTTGATTTTGAAGGTGTGAGGAAGGAAGCTGAATATTATATGAAAAAGATGAAATTAAAATGGAAAAAGTTGAGCAAATGAATGGAAAAGCTAAAATTAAAATAGAAAAACTTTAAATGTATTTGGAATAGGTTTAAATATATTTTCAAAAGATTGAAATAAAAGTGAAAAGGTATGTACGGAAATAACCGAAATTACGAAGTCTGAGTAAAATTTAATGAAAAGTACCTATACATGCTTTCAGATTCGCATTACCACGCCATAGAATAAGTTAGCTTTTATTTTAAGTATTTATTTAAGTTTATTTGGTCATTTTCTGTTTAAATCATCGAATTATTCAAAGAATGAAACTTTTTTCTCCTGTCCCGTTTTTTAAAAGTTTCAAAGTTTGGCGTGAGAGCGATTGCAGCGCTCCGGGCGGAACTCGCCTCGCCTCCCGGCCCGCCCAGCCCAACGAGCTCATAAAGTAAAATAATTTAATGAAAATTCGAAAAACGCGGAAAAGCGTCGAGGAGAAAGGCGTTGAAAAACGTTTTCCACTGATTTTCGTCAATTTTTACTATTCGCCGGTCGTCCCGGTTGAAGGTAACAACGGATTATCAATCAAGAAGGTTTTGACTCAAATGGAAAGTTTCTCGTGTGGCAGTGGCTCCGTGAGCTCCGACAGTGTACGAGGTCGAACCAGGAGGACACTTACTCATTTCAACACAAACTTGCCCATTGTGTACACTACCGTTTACACCGGATAATACGACATCTTATATTACTGAATCTGTGTTAAACCCGTGCTTTTACCTGTGCTTCGCGACCAGCCCGGCCTGGAAGCTTTTTCCTTTCTTTACCCTTGGAAAACACATCAAAAAAAGAAGAGTGTGGAAAGAAGGCGCATCTGTTTTGTTATTATTTCTTCCCTTATGGATCCGAAAGGATTTTTCCGGATTTAGCGCACCGTCGGACGCTGATGAAGTGGAAAAACAACGTTTACACGTCGCGACAACAGAAAATCATTCCGTGTGTTTTGTTATTGCTGTAAAAACAATAATTTTTTTTTGGTGATTATGAAATCGACGAAGCATCCGACCTTTTGCGTCGTTCCAGCCGGATTATGAAGATGAAAATAAGAAGGTAAGGGGATTTAAATAACAATCACAGCTTTTGTCCAGTTTTTTCTTTTCTAATTGACTTTTATTCAGAGAAACATGCCGTTAAACGTCTCCCGTCGGCTCCACGCCTCACTCTCACTCCCACCGTAGTATATTGTTCTCTCGCGTCTCTGTTTTGACTCTGACCCTCTGAAATCCCATCGTTCAAACATTCAAGAGTTTATAGGAGATTCTGATTCAATCTCTTTCCTATAAACATAACAAAACTCGAAAGTAAAAGATCGTGGCGTACAAGGTTGGAAAGATTAAAAAAAAAAAAAAATGTGCGCTTCGAATGAAATGTTTAAACTTTCGATTGTCCCGGAAGCTCGTCTGTTTAACGCCGGCTCCGCCTAATTTCGCCTTTTTACCAAGTCGAGAGCGAACGGGAGCGAGGAGCGTTGGAATGAAACAGCTGAGTTTGTTTTTCAGTCATTTCACAGACACGGCCGGGTTTGTTGACCTTTGAGTCATTAAAGGATGGTCACAAATACAAGTAATAAACTATTAATAAATATATTGAATTTCTTATAAAGAAAGTAGAAATGTAAACAAAAATGACCTTCAAGAAAAACCGAAAGTCGTTTATAATTGAGCTGTTTCTTTCTCTCTCCTCTCTCTCTTTCTCTCTCTCTCCTCTCTTTCTCTCTCTCTCCTCTCTTTCTCTCTTTTGCTCTCTCTCTCTTTCGCTCTCTCTCTTTCTCTATCCCGCTCTCTCTATTTCTCTATCCTGCTCTCCCTCTTTCTCTATCTCGCTCTCTCTCTTTGTGCTTTATTTGTTTTGTTTATACCGTAGTCTCTAATTTTCATTCTTACACCAAAACAACATTTTACCGCGACCCTGCCATTTAATATCGTACAAGACGGTTTCATAGTTGCACGATTTTTTTTACAACCCATTTAGGACAGATTTCGGTTTGTTAAACAGTGAAATACATTTTTTTCCCCACTTGACTGGTTAATCTGTGAGTGCCGCTCAACGTCGTCCCTTCTGTGGGTTCCGGTGAGATGGCTTTTTGTGTGTTTATTCCGATTTTCATTTCATCTTTTGCTGTATTTTAGTGCTGTAATGTTTGTACAAGACGCTGTCATAGTTTTCACACTTTTTAGTAGGTCAGATTTCAGTGTTAAACATTTTGTATTAGATGAATAGACGGAATTGTATTTTGCCTATTCCATTGGTTAGCTGTGAGCTGTCGCTCAACCTCGTTTCTGTAAGTTGTGGTTAAATAACATTACCGTTTGTTTTGGTTTTCATTTGATCTCTAAAACATTTTTTTTTAAACATGAATTTGAAACAAATTGAAATAGTTTTTCCGTCGGTTTTTGCACTTTTTTACATGTAGTACATATTTTGTAGAGTTTGGAATGCGTTTCAATTAAAACCTCTGATCTGGATCTTTTGTGGTCAGTAGAACATTTGTTTTCCAGTTGGCCCTGGTCAATCTTGCGTGTCTAATCTCTAAAGACGAATTCAACTTACTCAGTGGATGTCTGCGAGTTGTCGCTCAATATCATGCCTTCTTTATGTTACCGTGAAATACCTTTTCTCCGATTTGCTCTTGCTTTCATATCTAATATTTTAGTTGTGGCATGTTTGACGGATTAAAAAACTTATTTAACTCACAATTATGTTAGTACGGTTGTTCCACTGTATCTTTCATACAATGGGAAATATGGTAATTCGTTATTAATCTGTTCAGATAATTTAAAAGATATGTAAATATTTTTCGTCTGTTTTGGTTGTGTAGAACATATTTTTTCTAACTCGATAGATCTGATTCCCACTTGTGGTCGGTAGAGCATTGTTTTACAGTTGGACCCGGTCATCCTTGTCTGACTTATCTCCCTATGTATATCGGTCAAAGACGGATTCCCCCTTCCCCAGTTGATGTCTTTGTGTTTTCTTTCAACCTTGTCCCTTCTTTAGGTTATTGTCGAATTCGATCATTAGACACACTGGAAACCTGGCTAAAAATTGTTTGATTTTTTTTTTAATTGTTCACATTGCTTTATATAGGAACATATTTTAGGTGTTTTATCAATTAATTTTAAATTATAAAATTAATCAAAATCGAAAATATAGAAGTAACCAGAATGAAACGAAAAAATAAATTCAGATAAATACGTGTATAAAATGTCATGGTAAGGCCTGTTGGAAAATGTATTAAGGATATAAATTATTTATTTTCATGTTTTGATAGTGAAACAATTTTCCTCAGGGTTTCTTTTATTGGAACCATTTTTTTAATCTTTTAGTTATAGATAACGTTTTGCCTATTTGTTTCTAAATTTCATGAAGACTGGGCGTATCGCTAGAATGTGATATAGTGGTAATAAATAGGTCACACAGAGGTCTGTTTGATTGTGATAGTGATCATAAATAGGTCACAGAGGTCCGTTTGAAAGTTTTTTCAGCAGTAAATGGCTGATTATATAAATTAAAGGGTTCACAGGCTGACCGAACCACTGCACTTTACGTAAATCTACACGAAAGTGTAATTTGGGTGATTTATTTGGGTTTTAAATTTAATAAATGGCAAACTGCTAATTGAATTGATTTGGCAAATAGGAGCTACTTGAATGAATATTTTTCCATCGGTCCAATTAGGAATTGTTAAGGGTCAACCCTGGTACCGGATTTTGTTTCAGTTTTTTTCGTCCAAAGTTCATCAATATGTGATAAGAATATTTTTTTTTTCGTATTTTGTGATTTCGTCGAATACCTCGGACCCGGTGGGAAAGTTAAGTACGGGTATTCAAATGGAATGTGGTGATTCATCGGACTGTCTATTTATTCGATTCTTTCTGTAATATGTTAGAATCTCGGCATTTTTAATCTAAAGTGAAAGAACAGTTGGTTTTGGGTACAGTGCTCTTTCAGTAATCCGAACTAATTGCTATAGTAGAGTATTCGGATTACAGAGGGAGTTAAAAAAAAATCAATAAAAAATGTAGAAACAAATTTTAACATATAACTTAATTATTATTGCATTCATAAAACGTTAAACCATTTAGAATACAAATATATTTTCAATTTTTCTTTAAAAATCATTTTAAAAAATTATTTATCGTTTTCTTTGTTGCTTCTTCCTCGTTTTATTTCATTTTTTAGGGGTTGTGATGGATTCAGTGATTAAAAGTAATTCTCGACAGTCTTAGCTGGTCTTGGTCTATCGTATGGCCTTTCCATCTTACTAACCACATACTCTCTCACCCACTCACTCACTCACTCACTCACTCAACCACTGCTAGCTCATCACTCCTCACTCACTCGCCCACCCACTTACTCTCTCACTTTCGCTCTCATTCATTCTCTTACTCACTCACTCACTCTCTCACTCTCCCTCCATCCCTCTCTCACTCTCACTTTACTCACTCACGCACTCACTATCTCTCACTCTTTCTCTCTCACTTTCTCTCTCACTTTCTCTCCCTCCTCCCCCAATAATATTGCATTTGTTTCTTTTAAAATTCTCACTTCTCGTATTTTTTCCAGTTCGGACTACTGTAATGTTCTGAGTACATCTTTGTTTTTGTGCCATTTTGGCGATTACTGTTTGCAAGGTCAGTAAGTTCTCGCCCAAAGAAATTAGCTTTTCTCTCAGCCTCTCTAGTCACAGTTTTCCTTTTTCGTTTTATTTCGTATGAGGGAGAAATAATCGCGTTATTTATAGAAATAAGTTGGAAACAAAAAAAAATGAATTAATTGATTAGATTATATATAAAAAAAAATCCTTAACGTCGGCAATGGAGTGGGAATATTTATCTGACTGTTCTATAATTATTCTATGCCCATGTTACCGAACTATATGTCGTCTTAATTCAGCTGTGCAGTTTTTACTTTAATTCGTTCTAAATCTAGCATAAAAATTAATAAAAAATTGTTATTAATCTGTGTGTACTTTCACGTGAACAAACGCCAAGGTTTTGGATATTTGTCTGCGGTTGGATCGTTCTGGTCCGCCAGTTCGAGCTTTGCGTTTCGGTCAGACGAATCTCTGAAATTTTCACCGGCTGAACACTGTCAGACAGTGTTTGTCATATGCCTCAAATTCAAATGAGAGATGACAGTTTAAAGACGCTGATGAGGCCGAAAGGCGACGGACCGAAAAATTCACCGTGAGCCAACCAGGATAATCAGGGGACGGATTGCTTTTTTTTATTTTATTTTATTTTTTTTTAACGATACTTTTAAGAAATGAGGTGTTATCATTCCATATTTTTACGTTTTATTATTTAAATTTCCCCAACAGACCATTAAAATAGTTGCATATGTTACATTATTTTGACGTTCCAGGTAACGAGAAAATTTCGTGTTATTTTTCATTTGTTATTGTTTTTATACTAATCAACATTTCTATTCACATAGGAGGATTAGTTGTTACCATGAAATAATAATATCAGGAATATAATGCTTCAGTTCATAAAGAAAAAACGTCTTGAAAAGTTCACTGTAAATTAACTTTTTTTTTTATCGTGGCTTCAAAACCTATAATCCCTGAGTGCTTATTGTTTGAAGGTAGGTATTAAGGCGGCCGAGGCAGCTCGTTAAGTTGCACTGCGTTCGGTGAACAAGCGAGCGCACTGTCTTTCAAAAAGTTTGCTTCTGGGAATGAGTGAATTAAAGACGAACCATAGTCTGGTAGACCTTCTGTCTTGATTGAGGACGAATTGTGGGAAGCTATTTCGATTCTATTCAAACGTCAGGTAGTTGCCAGAGAGTTCAGCGTAACGTTCTAGCTTAAACGACTTGAGAAGACGTGAAAGCAGAGCAAATGGGTTCATCAATTGACCTACGATATCAAGCCTCTGCGTCTAAACTAAACACTAGTCTTTCATTGCTTTCACGGCACAAAGTAGACATTTTTTTACCAGATTGTCACATGCGACGAAAAAACGGGGCACCAGGAGTTCGTACCATTGGCCACATCAAATAACTCTGCCCCATTGTCGCGAAAACCAAATATTCAAAAATAAAAGGTGATGATTTGTGTTTTGTGGAGTATGGCAGACATGGTCCGACCATCACCGCAGTTACCTACTCAAACCAATTATGAGTATCTCATGCCCTGTCCCAGAAACAACCTGCTCTAGCGAACAGAAAAGTTTTTTCATCAGGACAACGCGAGGCCTCAAGGAGGTGATAATGAAGCTTGGTTGGGAAGTCCTAGCACATCCTCCGAACTCAACAGACCTGTCCCCATCTGACTTTCACCTTTTCTTATCAATGAACAATTCGATAATCGCCAACAACTGGAAAATGTGCTGAATTTATTTTTTAAACCTGGGACTCGAACTTTTATAAGAAGGGCATATCTGGGATTGTAGTAGCACATTGGGAGAAGGTTAAGATGCCGATGGATTCTACTCCCCCGAATAAAAGAGCTATAAACAAATTTCAATTGTGGCAATCTTTTAAAACAGCACGAACGCTTCTGTTTGCCCGGTCCTTGTAAATGAAACAATAATATTAATTGAGCAAGGCACATCTAGTAGTAATAAAATACATTAATTAAATAAATGTAAACAAATACTTTGGTCTCTGGCCTGCGGTGGTTGGGGCTGGGTTTGAGAAGCGAAGGTCATACTTAACCATGTTGCGCGTAGGTCATACAACACCAGATAACACACCTAATGGTGGTGAGACCACGTAGGTGTCCGTTGTGAGGAGACCTTATCACGGTAGAGTACTGCAAAGAATTATGTTTGCAAAGAGGACAATACATCCTGAAAGACATGCGCGACCTTGAGGCATGGAAAGAGGCACTGATCAGGGCCATAAATATTTTTCATTGTATATAGACCTTTGTACCTTCATGTATGTGATTGTGTTATTTATTGGAACGAATGTATTTATTTACACGAAATGGGGCTTGTTCTCCAATTACCCCGAGGAATATCGAGTACTCTGAGGCAGTGTGAACGAATGTGTGCCTGGAGCGGCTTATCTCCCATTTACCTCAAGATTTTAAGTTGAAAGATAGGCGCTGTTTGCACGCAAAACCCGCGATGGATAATGGGAATAAGAAGTCAAACTATGAAACTATGCTACAACCCGAGGATTATCGTTACTCTTGGTTATTTCTCACTAACCAGACTAACATGTTTTTATCTTGTCTCTGTGTTTCTGTGTGTTTATTGTTATTTTATCCACATTTAACGAACCCCTGAGGTATAGAGAGGCTACGAAGAGGATAAATAAAAGAAAGAGTTGATTTTAAAAATTCCGTTACTTGATAGGTGATATGGTTCTGCATCATGACTGTCCAGATCGCGCCCAAACTTGCATAGCGTTTATTCACTTTAGTTATAAAGTTATTCTTTAATGAGAGTTGCGTGGTTATGTTCTCTCCAAGGTAGACGTATTCGTTAACCACCTTTTTCCTCCCATCGACCACTTTTCACTTCTGGCCCGTCTTCCTCCATTCCCGAATACCACGATTTTGGATTTGCTTAAATTCACCTTTAACTCCCACATTTCCATACATTCATTAATCCGGTTTATGGAGAGAATTGGAGTGTTACGCTAAAACGACAATGTCGTCCGCACAAGCAAGCCGTTGATTCCCTTTTTCCCAACTTGTACCCCATCTAAATTTAATTATATTCATAGTTGATTTAAATTAAATTTGTCGTTTTTGGTGTTTAAAGAGTTTACATTTTCATTCGTCCAGTTTAAATAGTTTTGAAAGCTGGAACAATGTCAAAATTCTTACAAGTCTATATTTAAGTTCCGTTATAGACAGGTTGTAACCAAATTTTATTAGTCCTTAAAAACTAGGGTTAAAATTAATATTTATAATCTAAGAGACAATGGCCTGTCTATTTTGGTTTAGCAAATTTGGCATTGATTCAGTTTTAATGCATGCCCCGAGCCTTCTCAAGCAAGTTTTTTCTCCTTTGAAATCTGCCTGGGGCTATAATCCTCGATTCATCCATTCTAGATATCCCTCTCAATGGGATTTTGTCGTAGCTGTTTGGATTTATAAAAGCTGAAATCTGCACTCGTATATCGGTCTTATCCGTCCAGCCACCGTGGTTGGGCTTCGGGCGCGATCAACAACTAGGTCAATTCATCATCCAGCAGATGCCGTTTCTAGATCCAAACCAGTCACACTCTCACTCATTTTTAAATACATTCTCTCTTATGGACTTACTATTTACTCAATTAGTGTTGTGGCGTACTCGATATTCTTCCACCACCCTCTCACATTACACTTTCAAACCAATAAATACATTCGTTCTCAATACTCGCTAGGGATACTAAACTATCGTTTCTATTTACAATAAAACAACCCTGTTTTCTTCAAAAATCGGAACAGGGGACCCAGATACTCGCTGCCGAGCTTAAGCACGTTTCTCATATCGGGTGGTAATCCTGTACGCTCTCTATGTAGTGTAGAGCCAAGGAGTTGCACCCTTCAATTAGGTGGGACACATCGAGCAGCCTTTCTCTGCACATATGCGTGCTTTGGCTCAAAAGTAAATGTGTCAACCTCGCATGGCATATCCTTCATCGGGTAAGGATGACACTTCTACGATTCAGAAACTCCGAGGGATGCCCGGGGCTGACCCGGCACACTGTCGCTTCCACCTTCTTTTAATCATGTTTTTTATTGCATTTGTAACATCAGAGTTTGTCGTAGCTGTATTGTTAATGATAACGAATGAGCGAATTACTTCATCCTTCATTTGCTTGCTCTTCGAATGATACTGTCATCAATAGCGTTTCGTAAAAACATTTCTGGATCAATAGCTTGTGAATACTGTATTAAAATTTAGTTAAGTTTAGCAGTAGAAATAGTTGTTGTTGTATGTTAAGGTAATGTAATGTTTGTTATTGGTATTTTAATTAATTATATTTTGTCTGTTTTAGTGTGAATGAAGGGAAGAAGATGTGATCTCGCAATGCCCGTTTCCTGTAGTATAATGTTGGGATGGGTATTCGCCCTTTTCTTGGCATGCTCGGCGGAAAGTAATATTGTGAAAGTGTTCAAAGATCCGAGTGGACTTCCAGATACGAAGTTTAATAATTTAGTCGTAGATAAAAATACCGGCCGTGTGTTCATCGGTGCGGTCAACCGTCTTTATCAGTTGTCGCCGGATTTAGATTTAGTCGTGGCGGAGACGACGGGTCCGAAAGAAGATTCGCCCGACTGTTCCGTCGTTGATTGCCCATCGACGATCGTCAAAAAGTTAATGGACAATGTCAACAAGGCGCTTGTCATCGATTATACGACGACGAGGCTCATCGTCTGTGGCAGCCTATTCCAGGGTATATGCTCCGTTCGAAATTTGAACAATATTTCCGACGTGACGCAGGTGGTGAAAGAAGCGGTCGTCGCAAACAATGCGACGGCGTCCACCGTGGCTTTCATCGCTCCGGGACCTCCGAATCCTCCCGTCACTCAGGTCATGTACGTCGGCGTCACCTACACGAACAACTCGCCGTACCGGAGCGAAGTGCCGACCGTCTCCTCCAGGAGTCTGGACAAGGACAAAATGTTCATGATCGCCCAGTCGGCCGTGACGACGGGGACGAGGATGTTCGTCAATTCCCTGGCCCGGGAGCGATACCCTATTAATTACGTCTACGGTTTCGCCTCCGAAGGTTTCAGCTATTTCTTGACGACGCAGATGAAGCACAGCAATCCGTCTCCGTACATATCGAAACTGGTGAGAGTCTGTCACGACGACGACGACTATTACTCCTACACAGAAATACCGATCGAATGTATAGACAGCGAAGGCAAGAAATACAATTTAGTCCAAGCCGGTTACGTCGGTAAACCTGGATCGGATCTCGCGTCCAGCCTCGGGAACACGGCCCAGGACGACGTCCTGTTCGCGGTATTTTCGGAAAGTGAACAACTGGAAGGAGAAGGTTCTAGTAGACCTAGCCACTTCAGTGCCCTTTGTGTCTATTCACTAAAGGCAATCAGGAGGAAATTCATGCAGAACATCAAAACTTGCTTCAGCGGACTCGGAAGCAGAGGTTTGGATTTCATCTCGCCGAGTCATCCCTGCATTCCAACGGTAACATTTTTCTTTTCAAGTCTACACTACATAATGCATGCATTTTCATTAAACGCTTATTAGCATTTCTTAGTTTTATTCTTTTAGCATGTTTTTGAATAGTTTATAATTTTATCATATTGCTAGTTGTGAATAGGGACATTTTTATCCTCTGGGCAGTTTTTTTTACGCTCATTTATATTTATTGGGCAATAAAAATTCAACAATATTTTAATTCATAATTGTTATAAATATTTATGCTGTGGGAGGGAGATTGTTAGTACATAAGAGTATGGGTGCGTATGGGGAGGGGGGTTCATTCATACCTGAAGTGAAACTGTGTATGGGGGGAGGGTCAGCCCCTGATGTTTATTGATCATCCTCTTACTCCCTTTCCACCGGCTAACTTAAGCTTCTTCCCAATTTGCTATTCCTTCTATTTTTCTTTTTACGTTTTTTTTCTTTGCATAGCTTCGTTACATTTCTTTTTTTTTGGCTAATTGGCTAGTGGAGAGTTAATAGTTTTGACCACTGGTTTGCCTATTCAAAAGTCATTGAACCCTTCAATAACACAAAGCAGATACGAGTGAGTGGTTCGTTTAAATGAAATGTAATATGCAAATTATACATTAATTATTTTCCTACACTGTAATTTTTAAAAAAATATAAATTCACTTAATACGGTAAATGATTTTGTAATATTGCTTCAATTCAATCACCGAAGAAACCACTTCCTTTATTAATTTTTTGGAGTTATTAAAGGACAAGAGTAATTATTTTTCGCTTTTTGTGAATTTTTTCTCATAAAAACGAAGGTCCAGCATGGGAATTAATTATTTTTTAACTAATTTCTCGTCTTTGATCAAATTATTTTCTTGTACGATCAAAACGATCATTTTGTCTTGTTTTCCAATTCTAATGTCAGCTTTTCCTTTAAGTCCATTAGTAGAAAAATACTAGTTTCTCATGATTTTTATAAAAATTAAAAGTATTTCACTGAGATTTTTATCGGCCGACCTTTTCGGATTGGATTTTATAAAAATTAGAGGTAAAAGTATAATAAATATTGTTTTAATAAAAAAAATAGTACCAATAATTAATTGTATGAAAACACATTCTTTTTCTTTTATATAACGGTTAATTTCTTAAACACACTGAAATATCATAAAGATATANGTTAGTTTTGAAAATTTAATTTATTATAATTTTTAATTATAATTCTATTTTTCATATCGTGTTATATATATATCATATTAAAAGAAAAATACTTTTTTTGACCTTTTTAATTTTAATTAATTTTCATACGGTTTTTAAAAGAAAATTCCTTTATTTTTACACTTTTTTGTTTTGCTTCATCCAGAGGATATTTTGTCAGTTTTGAAAATTTAATTTAATATAATTTTTAATTTTAATTCTTAACTATTTTTCATATCGTGTTCTAAGGGCCCATTTATTTAATATTTACAGTTGTAAAAGCCCAATTATTTCACATTAAAAAAAGAACTAAAATTAAAAGAAGAGTCCTTGGTTTTTCCATTTAATTTAATATAATTTGTAATGTTAATTCACTGATTTTATGGTCTTCTAAGAGCCAGTTATTTTATATTTACGTTTTTGTACATTCAAGAAGAATACCTTTTCTATATTTACTTCAGTATAATTTTAATTTATTTATTTTTCATATAGTCTTCTAAGAGCCCAATTNCTTAAGTCTATGGTTTTCTAGGAGCCCAATTATTTTATATTTACTTTTTTACATTTAATTTAATGTTTTTAAATTTAATTCTAATTATATTTCATATGGTTTTCTAAGAGCCCAATTATTTTTTATTTTTTATGTAATGCTTTACTTTCTTACATTTCATTCCAGCTCCTAGGTTTTGATGTTTTAAAGTAATGGTTAATTTGACGGGAAAAAGCTATATTTCTTGAATACAAAACAAAAAAAAGTTAAAAACGCTTCGTACAAAGTTACTAATAATAAATTTAAAACAGTCAATGATTTTCTTATTGACGGTTTGACATTTGTTAACGAAAGCACGAACTCATGATAAAACTGACAATGGACAAAAAAAATTATGTATCAAACTTTATTGATCTCTACTTAATTGATCAAAACAATGCACATTGTTTATAAATCTATGTTTCTATTGCCATTATAACATATCGCCAAGTTATTCAAGGATGTTTAATTAATGAAAAAAATTATTGTGTAAGTAAATATGAGGTTTGCTGCCTTTTGTCACTATTTCATATTGACATTCCCACATTCGAATACTTCCTTATTTTGTCCTGTTTTTTAGTTTGATCTATTTGTTTTTAAGGAAAAATATTAAGTTTTATAATTACCGAAATGCTTAATTATTCAGTATGCCTCCAACTCTTTCGATCACGTATTGCTGCATTAATTACGTCTTGGGCTGTTTGACGTGGGCGTCGACGCAAGGTCCTTTCTTCAACCCACGCTCAAACATATCACTATTTACTTCTATCCGACACAAAACAACGGTCTGTTCTTTCAACATCTTATTTCCCGATGAGTAGCTGTTTTAAAAATAAGAAGGCCGATTTGGCATCGTAATAAATGTCCAGTTTAATCGGCTCAGAGACAAGGCGAGATTATGTGGGCTAATTTGTCCGTAATAATGCCAGGCGGTTCAGTTGCTCAAATTATAAATAGTTTGAGAGATAATTCTTTTAAATAAGTCTAAAACAAATAATTATATGTTTTCTTCAACTAGCTGCGGTTTTCATCACAAATCTATCCATAGCTCTGAACTATTCATTTTTGGGGAAAGAACAACTATACGGAAATTGTAAAACCCAACTTTAATAAAAAACACAAAAAAATTTCAACGTAATTTGTTTGCTTTGATCATGTTTTGTCGTCTCTTTTTTATGTGCTTTGTTTGATTTTTACGTTGAATGTTTCTTTTTTATTAGTTTAAAATTGAGTTTTACAACTTCTATATTGTTGTTCTTTTTTTAATTTTCCTGTGTTTAGCATAGATATTTTGTCCAATTTTTCTGCTTTGGTTGTTCACTGTATTTATTATTGCTTTTTAATGTGTTCTTGTTTAAGTTTTCTTTCTTCTTCTGCATTTTTATTAAGTCAAAGTTGGGAAATAAATGTTGTCTTGGACACAAAGTTGAATTTAGATTGACCCCATTCCCCCTTTTTCACACCGTCACCACTCCTTCCCCATTTAGCATAAAATTTCTCTATTTTTGATCTATGTAATTAAAGAAAAGGAAGGTTATAACGCTAGAAAACCTATTAAACGAAGAAGATCTTCTGAAATATACTAAGTTCTACCGTGAATTTTTCCAATGATGTTGCAAATTTAGTTTTTTTACAACTTTTAAATTTTACAGTTTTTGAAAGATTTAGGGTTTGTTTTTAAACTTAAACTGAAAGTTTTAGTAGGGTGCCGTCTTAAAAAATTCATATTTAAATCTCTTTTCAATGCTTTTCTTGCATTTCCCAAAAATAAGTAGTCCAAGAACTACGAGTAGATTTGTGACGAAGACCGTAGATAGTAGAAAAAATTCATAATTCCAATTAATTATTCTTTTTTGTCTAAGGTTTTTGGTTGAGATCAAAAATTGGTGTCACTAGCGGGATTCGAACCCACGACGACCTTTGGCTTCGCGCTGTTAGATGACCTTAGATAAAAGGAATAATTAATACGGTCAATTATGATCACTAAACAAGTATGGATCATTTAAAAATACAAAATATTTAATTTCTGCGAAAGGATTGTGAATCGGACAATGGTTCATGAACGAATTTTTTTGGATTTGAGGTGTAGAAGCATCTGACAAAGTTTGTTACGAGTAGGGAATCACCCTATTTAAAAAAAAAATTATATATATGTACATGTATTTTTTTGTGGCTTGTTAAACATAGAGTAGTGAGAACAATCGATATAAAGTAGACATCACCCGCGCCATATTCCTCTCTTAGTGAACCTCCCTTGGGAAATTACCATCCTTTTAGATGTTTTTGAAGGGCTTCCCACTTGTAGAGCCCCCCCATTCGCAACCCCTCATACTTCAAACGCAATCACACATTTTTCAAATAGTCAGTGCAATCTCCTTACTTACTTTTTTACTTACCGTTAGTTTTTTCAAATTGATCGATGCCAGGTTTTTCGGCCTGTTTAGAATGCGCGCCGAGGAACTCTAGTTTAAAGCGTGATTTATTAATGGGTGTGGCCACTCTGTAAATTTCTTTTCAGTATCGGCCTACAATCTTTAATTAGTTTTATGAATTTTGTAATATACACATTTGATCCTACGACAGATTACGATAGAAAAGGGAAATTGTTTAATTCTTCTCAATCTGGTAAATAGTTGAGATTGGCCGGTTGCATCGTTGATGTTGTAACAATATCGACCAACATGTCGAGATCTTTTTCTAATAATAGAGGCAAAAGTTCTATTCTTGAGAAATTAAATGCTTCCGCGGTGTAATTCATCTTCGACCTGTTTCAAATTTCATGTGTGAAAGAGAAAGTTTCGAGGCGGGAGGTTATTAAGCTCCATTGTCCTCTAAATAAAATTTCAGTGGCTCCGAGACCTAAGTCCTACTCATTGCTTGGGCCATTAGGAAAAGGGGGGAAAGACTTATGGCCTAATCTGCTTTTTAAATTACCACTTTAAAACCAGAATCTTTAATATTCGACTTTTAAGAATTTGTGTAAATTTTGCATCCTGTCTGGATGCAAGTTTTTCTCTTTTATTATACTGACAACGAGTTGAATAAAATACTAAATGTTTATAGTTAAAATAATTTTAAAAAATTGTTTATAGATGAAAATTTCTTTTTTGTTGACCTTATTATTTGAAGGGATCGAAGCGATCCTGTGCCATTTTCAAGTCATATATTCCATTTTTATTTTACATTTTCTTTTTAAACTATTTATTAATATGTTCATAATACTTACCTTGACATTGCAAAAACATTTAAAAAATTGTCTACTGATTTATATAAGCTCAAATGTACACACACATGAACA